ATATAGTAAAGGTAAGATCCATCCACAACTCAAAAAAAAAAAAAAAAAAAAAGGGAACAAATAGAAGAAAGGAGAATTCTCAAATACCCTATCGAAAAAGACAGTTTTTAACAGTCAGATCTTTGACCAAGTTTTGTAAATTTGTCATACTATTCTGAACCTGATATGATTCTAATGCTATCTGTACGCTACTATAGAATTCTACTAGAAGAAATTTCTCTACTTTTGTCTTAGAAAGTGTGAATTTTGGCAGTATTATGAGGACATGGGAAAGCCTACACCAAAAGTAGAAGTGATGAAGTTTTTAAAGGGAAAGGGATACACAGATGCAAAGGACTATGCAGGGGAATGTGAACCAGTGGTCATCATAGCCAAAGGCCAAAGTACAACATTTTTGTCCTAATTATCTACCTTTTTCTAAAAGTGTTTTTATCACAAGTTTTCATCTTTTGCATTATGAAACTAAACCATAAACTTTTGTGAACACTAGATGTGCAGGGGACTTGCAAATATGGGACAAGAGTGGATTATGTCTTGTCATCTTCGGAATCGCCGTACAAGTTTGTTCCTGGATCGTATTCCGTCGTTTCATCAAAGGGTACTTCTGATCATCACATGGTTAAGGCAGATATCATAAAAGAAAGCAAGCCATCTTCCAAGCAGAACATCATTAAACGACACCAAAAATCAGTACAGAAGCTGGTGACCTTAACAGGCACTACTTGTTCTTCAAGAGGTGTATGGAAAATGCGCACATAATGAAAGTCCATTTGCCTTAGCTGCACTTAAAATGGTGGCAAATTAAAGAGGAAACCACTACTTGAAATGTAAATCATTGTCTTTTTGTAACATGATAAATCCAGTAAGAAATAAGACCTTCACATAGTTATTCCAATTATTCTTCTAATTATTAGTGGTCTTTTTTTTTTTTTTTTTTTTTTTTTTTCTTTTTTTCTCAAAATTTTTCCCTTTTTTTTTTTATTTTTTTGGGGTTTTTTTTTTTTTTTTTTTTTTTTTTTTTTTCCTTTCTTTCTTTTAAACCCAAGGTGAGAATATTCGAACTCTAGACCTTAACATTATAGGCAAGGGTGTGGATTTACAACTAGGCTAAGGGTGCGTTTGGTAGATAGATTTAGAATCATGATTTTGAATTTTGGTTCAGAATTAGTGTTTGTTTACAGTGATTCTGAATCATGATTCAGAATCAATGTTTAATTTGAATGTAAAGGAGACCAGAATTGGAATTCTCTTATATTTATTTAGGATGAATTCGGGTATATTTATACACAAGGATCCATTTGAATTGATCCTGATTTCTAGGAACTACTCCTACTTTTAAGGAAAGAAATATACAGCTATATACACCAAATAAAATCTCTAGATACTCTAGATCCACAAAAATAGGAAACAACTAATCTTGCCCTATATGGCTAGACGGCTGGTTTGAATTTCTACACTCCCCCTCAAACTAGCTGGTATATACTCATTAAACCAAGTTTTGAACTTAGTTCAATAAAGTTCGGTCGAAAGAGTGCCTTTGTGAGAATGTCTGCCGCTTGATATCTAGATGGAACATGTTTTAGTGAAATAACATTGCTCTCTATCTTCTCGCTGATGAAGTGTCTGTCAATCTCAACATGCTTCGTTCTATCATGATGGATAGGGTTTTTGGCAATGGCTATGGCTGATTGGTTGTCACACATCATGTCTATAGGACCAGAAACGCTCACTTTGAGTTCATCTAGTAGCCGTTTTAACCATATTCCTTCGCAAATGCCTTGAGCTAAGGCTCGGAATTCTGCCTCAGCACTGCTGCGTGCTACCACCTGTTGCTTTTTGCTCCGCCATGTCACTAGATTTCCCCATACATAGGAGCAATACCCTGAAGTTGATTTTCGGTCAATAGGGGATCCAGCCCAATCCGCATCTGTGTAGACCTCTAGAGAGTGGTTGAGAGTCTTCTTGAACATTAGACCCTTTCCAGGATCCCTCTTAAGATATCTAAGAACACGATACACTGCTTCCATGTGGGAGACCGAAGGGTTGCTTAGGAATTGACTCACACGGCTGACTGCAAAACTGATATCAGGACGTGTGTGAGTTAAGTAAATTAGCTTCCCAACTAGGCGTTGATATTGTTCTTTATCCACAGCCATCTCTTCAGTTTGAGGCATCGACTTTGTGTTAGGATCCATAGGAGTGTCCACCGGCCTACATCCAATCATGCCGGTTTCCTTTAAGAGATCCAAGACATACTTTCGCTGGGATACTACAATTCCAGCCTTTGATCTTGCTACCTCCATTCCCAAGAAGTACCTTAGCTGTCCCAAGTCTTTGATTTCAAACTCTTTTGACAATAGAAGCTTGAGTCTCCTTATTTCTTCTTCATAATTCCCAGTGAGGACTATATCATCAACATATACTATTAGTACAGTGATCTTACCATTGATGAAGTGTTTGAAGAATAGAGTATGATCGGCTTGGGACTGTAAGTAGCCATCTTGCTTTAGTACCCTTGTGAATCTGTCGAACCATGCCCGAGGTGATTGCTTGAGCCCATATAGCGACTTGCGTAGTCTACATACTTTGCCTCGCGTTTGATCAGTTTCGAAGCCAGGTGGGATATCCATATACACTTCTTCTACTAAGTCTCCATTCAGGAAGGCATTTTTCACATCTAGTTGAAATAAGGGCCAATCTTGGTTCACGGCAATGGATAACAGGACTCGCACGGTATTGAGTTTGGCTACGGGAGCGAATGTTTCCTGATAGTCAATTCCATGCGATTGGGTGTAGCCCTTGGCTACTAGGCGAGCTTTGAATCGTTCAATACCTCCATCTGCTTTCTGTTTCACTGAAAAAATCCATTTGCATCCCACTGTTTTCTTTCCAGGTGG